GATTTCTGACGGTCTGTACTTAGCCTTGAAGACCAGCCTAGCTGGTACAAATTGGAGCAATCTCTTAGGCTGCCCCAACTTCTGATAAGGAAGAGAGAGAGAGTCAGAGAGTTTTAGCTGACTCCTTGACAGTTCCCCAGCCCCAGTTCTCAGCGAAAGCTTCAGAGACTAGGGAATATACCCTCCTATATTCCCTTACCTGGTTTCCAAGTTAAAATGGTGGTACCCTACTTTCACTCGCCTATGGGCAGCAACATTGAGCAAGTAATGTGGCAGAAGCAATATCATGCGCTGCTCTCCTTACTGACCTCAGCATCAATTTTTAAATTTCCTGTGGTCCTGAGCAATGTCCTGTTTCCCATGAGCCATGGGTTATGGCCCACTGAGCTAAATTTTGCACAGTAACTTACTGAAAATGTTGTTTTAAAAATGAATAAATCTTGGACCAATTTCCTTTTGGTACTGGCCACATTTGGTCAGTGCAAATCTGTTTAAAGAAGCAAAAACAAGAACTTGTCATGGTATGATATCAGCTATTTTGCTATGTAATAATATTATGATACTGAGCATTAATATTAAAAGTAAGTCTTCTTTTTAAAAATACCCAAGAGTATTCAGCCAACTGCATTATCTTCAACCATACCATTACTGGCTGTGACCTTAACTCATATAATCTAAACAGCTTGGTCAGCAAATAGATATGATTCCTGGAAAGACAAAGATGCTAGTCATACAGTAGGCAGGTCTCTTACCTCTGAGCTACAATGACCACAAAGTTAAAAAGCACTCCTGGATATGGTCTCTTTGGGTTGACATTAACATGAGCTCCTACCCATTTGTTAGTCAATAAAAGAGCCATGGCACTTTTTGTAAGAACAAAGGCATTACTGACTGAATTTGAATTAGGGTTATAAACATAGGCCCATCTAAATGAAAGTGACTTTGCATTATTAATTGAATGTAGTATTTATTTTCATTCTTTGTCCCAAGTGATTTTGTTATGTTGATACACCATGTTATATAGGTATGGTGTACTTATAGCAGAGTTCAGCATGCTTCAGAACAGTGTTTGACAGAGTAGTTCAAACATGTCAAGAGAGCTTGCAACTTTATGTAACCCGGGCAGTACTCCAAGAGGTACCCCCTCTCCAATTAAAGGGATCAAAGCAGGCGCACAAGCACTGTGGGAGGTGTAGGGACGCTCCTCCCCCTATAGCACAGAGCCAGACCACCAATGGGGACTTAACCATATACTTTTCAATACTGGGAACATAACAGGCATAAATCAGAGGGTATAGTGGATACTACAATGCCCCAAGGGGGCAGGATTCAACAAAAGTTAGACACACAATCATTGACAAAAAAACAGAGTTAACAAAATATAAAACACAAACAGCAGAATAAACGATATGGGTTGGTGAAATCTAAAAAGGCACAAAATGCAAAATGACATGGAAATGTAGGGCCTTGGTACCTGGAGGGGGAGAAAGGAGGGAAAACACAATGGTCCCTTTCCACTGCAAATAGATTTGCTTCTTGTTAGGTCACTCACCCCAGGTCATTGCAGCTAAGACTTGAATTCTGATCTCCCACGTGCTGTGCAGGAACACTGCCACACAGCTGCTACTGTTAGCACTATTCTAGCCTGCTAGGAGTCTTGACCTTCCTGGTGCCTCGACCTCATGATGAGCTGCCTGACTTCTGACTGGAGGAGCTGGAAGCAGAGCTGGGAACCTCTCAGGTCGCTGCTCAGATCCTTCCTGGAACTGGGGAGCCTCTCCTGCTGGCTGCAGCCTCTCCCAGAAGATCCTGGAGCCCAGTGGGGAGCCTCTCCTGCTGGCTGCACTGCTGAGGGTCCCACTGCTGCCTGCAGGTCCTGCTCTTTCAGGCTCTTCTGGGGCACTGCTCCTTCCCCACTGGCTCAGCTCTTGCCAGCTCTGTGAAGCTCCTTCCTTAGTGTCCCTTGCTAGTCTCTCCTGAGTCAGCCCACGCTGTTCCTTTTATCCCCCTCCAGGTGACCCAAGGGGCCAATCAGGAGACATGGGGGGTGGGGGGTGAGTCTCTGGGGCCTGACTGGTGCAGAAAGGGAATCCCAAGTCCTCCAATCATCTTTTACCCCTCCAAAACCCCTAGGCCAAATCATTACCAGATTGGTGAGGAAAGGGAATCCCAAGTCCTCCAGTCATCTTTTGCCCTTTCAAAACCCCTGGGCCAGGTCACTGCCAGCCAGCCCGTCACATTTGATTGGATGGTATTGTGGGCTTTGAAGTCATATTGTGATACAATGTCGTATCAGGAGGTAGTGGAATGTGGCGAGGAGAAAAGACTGGGAATCAGAAAAGAAATGCATCCTAAAATAATTCATACCCCAAGAAAGTGCATAACCAACCAAGGACAGTGTTTGTGTGTTTGCATGTGTACATATGTAAGCATGTCACTTGCATGTGTGAAACTGGGTGCCAGTATGTGCTTTCTGATCCCACCACTGTTCCAGTAGATTGAAGTCTTTAAAACTTGACAATGACAGAGAATCTAACAAAAAAGAAATCCACTGTTTCAGAGAGAGATTTTTGCATATGAGTATTATATACTATCTTTTTATGCTTCCCTCCAGATGAAAGAAGGGACCAATTACTACAGATCTCTTTTCTCACTCACCCTATAGGGAGGGAGCCAGCAGGCTGGCAGATCTCACTTTAGAAGAAAAATTATGAGGAAATTCCTAAAAAAGACACCACTTCTTTCATTTGTTGCTGGTGAGAACTCAATCTATTCAGCAGATTTTCTGAGTTCCCCAACTCCAGATTCTCTTGCTGAGTCTATCTCCCCAGCCAGAGAGGAGAGGAATGCCTGTGTGAGAAGTACTTCCCCATGCCAAGATAAAAAATAAGGAAATGCCTCTCTCCTTTTAGTGGAGGGGGAATAGTGGAGAAGGGGCACTATGCTCCCTATGCTCTCTCTTACAATTTCTGACTTTTTGCAGAGGGATTTGTAGTTTTTCAGTGCTCTGTTAAGCTAAAGCGAGGGATTCTTGACCTATGCTGTTGAGTCTATGTACAGAGAGCAGAGTCCATTGTGACTCTCCAAGTGGCAAATCCCCTCACCGTGTTTAATGACTACTCAGTTCCTGGTATCTCACTGGCCTATAGAAACTCTGTAAAGCATGACCTCTGGGCCAATATATTTTTTACTTCATGCAAATCTTTCAGTAACATTAGCAAGGTCAGTAGAGTGAAAGCACTGATTTGTTAAGCAGAAAACACTTTGTTGTTTTATGATATTTAAATTGGCATTAAAGTGGCTTTTTTTGTCTTTGCTAGTGAAAAACAATACAGTTCAGCTGTAGCACTTTGACATCACTGTTCCTCAAGACTTCTGCTAAATTCTTGTCGTTCGTGTCTATGATGCCTTTTAATACCATCCAGCTGTAAGCAGCAATCTCTTTGGATCCTAGAATATTCAGTCAGGGTGTTGGTTTGTGGACCAGTTGTGCCTTTATAACAAATATGGATGGAATAAGAAAATGTAATAGGGCAGCTGGTGTTAAATGCACTGTTAGAGTAAAAATAAGTGACCTTAATCATAACAGCAGGAAGACAGATCTGCCACTGCTACCACAGTACCACTGAGCATATAGACCCAGCCCCGAAACAAACAACTGCTCTCAAATCCAGTCAGTTCACTGCAGGCCTCCTATTCTGTACCAAGCACACTGTGGATTGTCTTTTGTTCCTCAGTTTAAGACTGATTTTATGGAGGTCTTAGAACCCTATTCACCCTGTGGCCAGAGAATAAAGCACCAGTCATTATGATGATGTGGCCTGAGGTAGCTTCAGAGTCCACTCAGGCAGTTTTTGAACATTTGGTCTAGACTTTTTTATTAAATTGTTCTAGAGACAGATGGAGAAAAGGGAAAGGAAGATATATTATTAATAATAATAAACAAAAAAAAGTATTTCGTGTTCCAGATCCAATCAGCCATATCGGTTCCAAATCATATTGATTGAGCAGAACTCTATCATTCCAAAAACCATATCAATTGAGCAGGCAGAATGCAATCGTTCTAGACACCATGATGGTACTACAGCCTGCAAGCATCCTTCATCCCAGGCTCTCACTCTGGGACTTCAGATACTCCCAAATCCATTCGCAGGCATCCTACGTGTAGACCCAAGCCTGGAGGTCTTGAGATTCGGATGCCACCACAAGATGCCAAGAACTACACTTAATCTGGGCCAAAAGGCCGAGAAGTGAAGATATTTACTTCAGTTTTTGAGCACAGTTGCAACAGCCCTCCATTGAATTTGCTCTTTGCTGCTCTCCTGTTGATAAAGGTGTAGTCATTCAGGGAGCAGCAAAAACAACAACAAAAAAACTCCTTGGGGGAAGAGCCAGGTGATCAAGTAACAAATAAAGAATATTCAGAGCAGACAGCTCTTTTCTAATAGAAGTATTTACGCAAATTACAAATACCAAATATACTTGCAAATAATGGGAATAATTCAAACACATATTTGAACACAGTTTCCAAACACATATTTAAAAACTATAAGTTTTCATCATTTCCATATCCTGAAAGAGTCCATGTTTTTGCACTGAAGAGAGGTGGCCAAAGTCAGCATGCATTTGCATGCATTACAAATAGTGGTTGTTCTTCAACGGTCAGCATTTCAGATCATTGTTCAAATTTCATGGCAATGAATATAGGATGGGTGGATGAAAAGCTGGATAATCAGAGATACTCGGTTTTCAGTTACACTGCTGTAAACCCAGAGTAACTCTGTGGACTTCACTGACACATATCATACTGTTGTATGGTACCTCATACCAAAATACCCTTATTATTTCCTATTCTGAGTATAGAGAAAACTAGTCATACCACAGGGATGTACCTACTTGCAAATGCTATTTAAAGGTGTACATTGTTCAATCTTAGCTTGATAAGGTAACAGTTTCTAACTTGGTATATTAGTAAAAGGAGCTGCCTTACAGGTACTTACCTATTCCACATGATGGTGGTATTTTACAGATGTATTTAGGTGGACAAGTTAACTTACAGGCTGGGTTCTGAAAATCAGTTCTTTGGGTGGTCTGTCTGTCATAAGATGGATTATAATGTTGTATATGGGATTTACCAGTTGGCCACCAATGATCCTTTAAAGTCAAAGGAAAGAGAAATGAAAATCTATACATGCCCTTAAGTGTGAACTATCATTACATTGTCTGTAACATCTTCTCAGATCTCACAGAGCTTTAACTCTCCTGCTAGCTCCATGTTTGCTTTATTTACTTTGGCTCCTAACACTGACCCTAACCAGGCTACTCTTAAATATGTTACAGTCTCATTTTATTTCCCCCTCTTCTGTCTTGCACTGTTATTCTTCCCTCATATAAACACCATTTAACTGTCTCTCAGATTCTGGGGCTTCCCCAGGTGATCTAGGAAAGTGAGATGTCAGGTATATTGTTATGTACAAACTGCCTTCTCACACCACTCTTACAAGAGGCCATTGTGGCACATCAGAACCAAAGCTGGAAAAAAAGTGTTTCTAACATTCTTACATTTTTGGCAACAACATCCCCAGTGCAGAGGGAAACCTGTCTAACATGTTAAGAGCTCATGTTATGAGCTGAGGATAGTCACTATTGTATGCAGACACTCTGACTGGGGATAAATTTCACCCAAAATGAACCACCCTTTTGCTAAACCAACCAGAGAGTGTTTGATTATTTTCTGGCACTATGGAGAGACTCAATGCATTTTATCAGCAGGCTCACGTAGAAAGGATTCCATAACCACACTCATTATAAAATGTTATCTGCCATTCATACAGGCCGCAGGACTGATCAGAACGATTTTACCTATGCAGAAAGAACAAAAATGCAGTACATCTGCAAAGCTGCCATGTTAGAATAGTCATCTAAACTGTCAAGCAAGACAACACCTGGCTTGTTCTCTCCCTTCTAGAGTTCAAGCTTCTCATTTCCCTGCATTTGACAGGAAGGCCTACTACTACATGCTATTTAACAGTTTAAACAGCTAACCTTCTTCCAACATGGCTGCTTAGCTTACCATATTGTGACACACTTTCTGATGCTGAGAGGCACCTTACTTAAATGGGACACTTCACAGACCAAAACACTCTTTAGCATTGATAAGGTTCCACAATCTGTCCCCTGCAACATTACATCATTGGATTAGAGTAAAATTCCCACCTGTGCAAAGAGCCCGTACACTGTTACCATGTTACCCATTAATGCTATGTTTTAAGAGGTGCATCAGCTTTGTGCTCACCTTGTCTAAGGGTCACTTTCCTAGAAATGAAATAGACAATCACCCCTTTAAATCAATTTCCTTTAACTGTAATACACAAAACAAATCAAACGAGAAACTACTGTGTGATAAAGTAAATCTAAGACTGACCGAATCTGACAAAAGCAAGCTTTAATTATGATTTTCCTAACACCTCTTTGTGCCTGACTATTGCGGGTGACTGATCTTCATGTCATATGCACTGCCATGCCTTGGCACAGCAGAGTGAGTTAGAGAGTTTTAAGACTTAATTCTGAGCTTTGTTACTGTTATGGGGTTCAATTCAGATCCTTAGTCCTATTTAATGTAGTTCTCTCATGCAGCATAGAGGTATATATTATTTAGAGTATGATATTAGTTGGAAAGATAATGCCAAATGTTCCCACCTCTTTTTTCATAGTATTTTTGGTTTCCATATAGACTATTGGTTCATTTAAGAACCTGACATCACAGTCAATGACTTTTGCATAACGTGGGTACGGATGATTGCGTCGCTCTGGTGAACACGGTGGCTCATGCAGTTTGTGTTCTCTATTGAGCTTTTCTAGCCTCTTAACTGGCTCTGGCATATCAAGATAAAATACTCTAGAGGTATCTGAGCTGGAAGACAAAAGAAGACAAAGACATGATTATTTTCACATACGTATGCTATAACGTGTTGATAGTTAATCTATTTATATCACATAAAACAGGATAAGAAAATAGTATCTGCTAAGAACTTAAGCAGGCTTAAATCCCATTTCACTCAGTATTGTAACTGCAGGATCTAATTTCACTGCACCTACTGTGGGATTACATGAGTGTACATGGCAGCAGAATTTAACTTCTATGGTATGCTTCTTCTCACTCACTAGTTTTGGATTAGTGTAACTCAGCGTTAGTCCCAATGCATACTGGAGAAATCAGAATTGGCTGGTCAAATATTTGTACATTAAATTGTTGCAATATGAAAGTTGGCATCTCAGGTCTGCTTCCCTTTAAATATTTACTGATGTCTCTAACTTGATACAGTCTGCACAAAACTATTGTGTGTTGCAAATGCTTGAGGCCAGCTCCTTTACATATTCTACCTTCTATTCCTGATCCTTCCTAATCCGGTTTTTGCTCTGGCCAGTCTACCAGCACAGTCCTCCCAGCATTCTTAATGATTTGTTCGTAGCTAATTCCAAACTGTAGCTAATTCCAAATGGCTGACTTCTATTCTTATCCCTCTTAACTAATCAGTAGCTCACTTACGTCTCTATCACCTTGGCACATTCTTTTTTCCTTATTCTACTCTCCAATGGGTTTTTTCCAACTTATCTAATCAATCTTCTGTAGCATCTTAGGATAATCACCTTCCTTTCCTGACTCCTTTCTCAGTGGCTCCTCCAGAACATTCTGTTCTGAGTCTCCTACTCTTCTCTGTTTATGCTCTCCCTTTGGTGATATTATCTCTGATCACAGCCAACAATATCATTAGCATGCTGATGACCTTAGTTACACTCCCCTCCTTCCTTCCTTTTCTCCCTGTAGTGTTTCATTCTGCTCCTGCCAGTTTCACCTCTATTTCCAGAAAGGCAAATTATCATTAATTAAACATGAAAGTAATAAAACAAAATAGCATTCTATTAAAACAAAAACAAAAACCTGCCCTAGTACCTCAGAAACAGTTCTATGATATAAGGATTGGTATGTTATTAGAGAAGCAACGTATAGACTAGATATGACCAATATTTTGACATAAAAATGGCTTCTTGGAAACCAAAACTATCCATTTCCAATAGAAGTAATATTAACCTTACTCACATCAAAGCCTCAGGTCTGGAACAGAAAATAAGCTGCCAAATACAGGTAATGATACCAAATGATGTCAATCACTTACATAATTAATCAGTGGACTCAGGGTAATCAATAAATAAGGAGTCAATGAGAAGCCATGGCATTTGGGCACTAAAAAAATCTCCCTTTTTCCACTGAAACAGTACTACTAATAATTTTGTTAGCATCGTGGCTTTGCCTAAGGTCCTGCACAGGATTTCATAGACATTAGACATTAGGGCTGGAAGGGACCTTGGAAGATCATCGAGTCCAGCCCCCTGCCCAGAGGGCACAAAGTCAGCAAGGGTCATAGGATCCCAGCAAGATAGTCTCCTGAAGGTATTCAAGGTAGGTGCTTGAACCGCCTCCAGCAGCAGTCTATTCCAAATGTTGGGGGCTCGGACAGTAAATAACTTCTTCCTTATGTCCAGCCTGAAATGGTCACGGAGGAGTTTGTGATGATACTCTACTGTTCTGTGTATTGCAAGCTTACCATGTACTGGGTACTGTACAAACCCAGAACAAAAAGACAGTCTCTCTCCTGCAATCTGACCCAGCTTCTGCAGAACTCAGTGACAATTTCTCCATTGATTACAACAACTCAGTAGTCTGAGATGTTTACAGCCTAGTTTCATACTAAGCATCTCATCCATGTACTGTCCAACAATTTCTGTAATTTTATTTATTTACTAATTGGTTATTGGACTGGAGGAGTGCAGCCTTTACCTTGGTAACCTGCTGACTTGTAACTTTAGCAGCACTTAGCAGTTTAGGGCTGTGTTTACTGAGTACCCATGTTTATGAATTCAGGTAGTTTTGCTTAAGGCTGATTTAGGTGCATTTAATGTATAACAAAAATGAATCAGGATTAGATCTTTCCTTCCTTTCCTGCACAATTCTTCATTTAAGAACATAGAACTCAAAGGCACTGCTTGAGTCAATGAGTACAGTATCCTGCTATCATAGTCAGTGATGGTATATAATCCCTTTCACAAACTGATCAAGATCATTTTAAAACTAGTTAGGTTTCTTGCCCCAGTCACTCCTCGGATAGTTAGGAACCTTCTTTTCATTTCCAGCCTAAATTTATTCATGGCCAGTTTATTCCTATTTTTTTGCATCTAAATATTGTCTTAATGTTAAAAGAGCTGTTCTTTCTCCTTGGATTTTAACATCCTGATATAAACTTACTGTGAAAGGCAGTGATGCCCTCAAGTACACTGTGCCGCTTCAGGCAGACTAAACCAGAAGCAACACAGTCCTTTCCATGGATGGGCTAATTAGCACAGAGCTGCTCTAATTGGCACCGTCATTCTTCAGTGCTAATTCACCTGCCTGCTGAGCCGTAGAGTTGCTGTCTGGAGCTGTGCAGCATGTTTGAGGGTGCCACTGCCTGGCAGAGTAAATTTACCATGTAAGTATGGCCTTAATTTCAGGCTCTTCATTCCCCTGGTAATCCTAGTCATTTTTGCCAAGCCTGCTGCAATACAAATTCTCCATTCTTGAACAGTGTGACTAGAACTGTATGCTCAGTGAAGGACCAAAAGTAAAGTTACTGCATTAGTGTCAGACTACATTCTGGTTAACAATCTCTGCTCTTCTCTCTTAGCTGAGAAGCAGTGTGTACAAGCCTGCTGGCATCACCACAGTAGTGGGGCTACGCTGCTGTTAATTCTGTGTTTGACTTTGCATTTTGTAGCATTAAATTCATCCCACTTCTACTACTTCAGCTTTCAAGGCTATCTGATTCTTTTTGTAAGGTATTCCCAATCCTCTGTCCTGGTGATACCTCCCAACTTAGTGTCCTCAGCAAATTTCATTAACACATTCTTACTTTTTGTGCACTGTCACTAATGAAAACATTACATAAGATTATTTCCAAGACCAGTGCTTGAGACCTCCACTTGAGAACTTCCCTCCAACACAACACTCCTCTTTTCAGTATCCTGCATTGCCTCCCCTTTCACTAGTTCCTTATTCAGCTTAAAATTCTGGTACCAGTCCCTGTTATATTTGTCCAAGGACATTCTGAAATAAAATTACTCCAACTACAAGTGTACAAGCTATACAGGGATTGCCATTAACAGATTCAACAAAAAATAACTTTAGATTCTCATGTGCGCAGTCAGCACGTTCACGTAGCTCATAATTCCTGCCTTCTTAGTTTAAATAGTAATTTCCCTTGTGTCGCTGTCTTAAATGTTTTACCAAATCCCATATGGGTCTATCATATTTCTTCTGTCTAGAGCAGTGTTTCTCAGCCTTTTAAGTAGCAAGTACCCCCTAACTTCTGAAAATTTTAATAAGTACCCCAACACTCAATTTTCCAGGGGATTTTATATTTACAGACTAATGTGTGCCATATGTTGGAAGAAGGGCTGTGTATATAAAGCTGTGATATAATAGATGTCTGATCTGGTGTGGATACGGTTCCCACCTTTTACACCAGGGATGCACAACTCAAGTATGTACCTAAGCTAGAGGTGACATTGAACAAAGCTAGGAGAGCTGAACCATTTTGTCCTGTTTCTGTTTACCTCTGCTCTTTATTCTTTCTTTTAACTTCTGTTCCAAAGCTTTGCATAACCTATTTTTACCGGCCACTTTCCCCACCAATGTAGCTAGTCTTCATAGTCCGCAGAGTCCTGCAGACATCAGTGACTTCTACATGGTTCTCATGTGGCTAAATTTTGCAGATTTCAACTTCCATACCTCTCGCACATCCATTAACTTTTGATAAAAAGCAGTCATGATCTATGTTCTTGTGAACTTACTCCTCAATTCCTGGAGTGCAGTTACTAAGGAAATAGCAGAGCAGAATGACCAGATTGTTTGGAGCTGTGTTACGTTGGCAAAGAAATCTCCCTCAGGCTAGAGGAGTTGATGTAGGTATCTCAGTGAGCCAGTCCAGCTGTACAGAAAACTGACCACTGCCCAGCTGTTTCCCACAGGGAGCTCTTCACAGAAATCAGGGGAAGGACAAATACTGTCACAGCTGTGACCCATATGCACAGGGATAGTCACTCCAGAAGGTTATTCTCTGAATGGGCTCAAAGTCTCTCTCAGCCTTATTAATTCTGCCCTACTTTGTGAATTCTTCCCTTTTTTAAATCATTGGGATTATAGTGACAACTTCTTTTGAAGGCAGATAATCAAGCACAGGAACCCCAATTGATAATCTGCTCATGAATATTCTAGCAGATGATTCTTTGCCTCATGATATCCATCTCCTAACCTGTGTGTTAAACCAGTTTATTATGGCTCGAGAGCAGTTGCAGCTAAAGTGGCAAGAGTACCCTGCAACCTTTAGGAACAGCGGCCTTTAAGTGAGCTTGTGCCAGTCAGATTCAGGCTGCTCCTGGGGCTGGTAATGTTTCTTTTATGGCCCGCACCTGCCAGAATATGGGCCAGAACATTGCAAGCCCGATTACAGACCCTTTCAAGATTCCACAAACAAGTTGCGTTGGCCTCAGAAGTGGTAGGCTAGGTGCAGGGCCAATACAAAGCTATTCTGTAAGATCTGAAGTCACTTGGATTCTCGAGAAGCTACTTCAACTTGGACTCCCTAAATGGATATGAAACCAGACACTTCTAATTATTTGTGATTACACTGGAACTAAACAGAACCTAAAAGAAAGGAAGAGATAAACCATGCTTTGCTATGTGCCTTGCCTTCCCCTGCTACCAGAGATCTGCTGCCCAAGCCAAATATCACCATGTGTAAGGTGAAGTGACTGAAGTTAGCAACATTCTTCTTTACTGGTGAGGACTGCTGTGCTTAGTGTGACACATAAAAAGACTGATATGCTTGAGAGGTGTCCCCAGAGCAGCTTCAGCACCTCATTTTCAGGTTTGGTATGTGTATGTGGAAGCTTGAGGGTGCCAGGGCGCAGCGGAGACACAGACTAATGCAGGATCAACTTGAGCGGGTGCATGTCCTGGACTGGCGAGAACTGACGCAGTCCTGGAGAACCTCGCAGGGAAGGCGCGTGGGGCTCAGATCCTGGGCCCTGCATGTGTGGCTGGTCCCATGTGCGCCACATGAAGCATCCAGGTGAACTTGGACCCAGGGACAGCACCAGGGGGTGAATCGGGCCTGTGAGCTGCATCTTTGCCACTCCTGCCGTAACACAACTGGGAAAAGGCTTGTGCACCCCTTGCATCTGGCCAGCTCCTCTCATACAGTGCCTGGCACCAGGCCCCCTGGCTGCACACCACTACAGTGGTACCCACCGGACACGGAACACCAGCAACCTCCCCCGGGGGCGCCTGAGGGGTGTTGGGTCCTCGCCTGGCAGGGGGATGCCCAGGGAAGCAAAGGCTGCGTGCCGCTCCCCCCACCCCTTCAGGTGCCCGCAGGGCAGCCCCGGTACCATCCTCCCTCTCTCAGGCAGTCCGGGCAGCACTTACGGGCGCAGCGGGCCCCGCTTCTTGCGGATGGCCGGGATCACGGGCGGCTGCCAGTGGGACATGGCGGCGGCGGGAGCAGGGGCGGGCGGCGGGCGCGCGCTGAGCCCGGGGCAGCTCGGAACTCGGCCCATTGTGACCGCCCCGTTGCTAGGCGACCCGCGCCGCGCGGTTGCTAGGAGCCCCGGGGGCCCCGCCCCGCCCCGCCCGGCTTCTCGGCCGTGCCGGGCCGCTGCTGTGCCCAGTCCCTCTGACCTGCTCCGGCCCCGTCCCAGCCCCTGGTGCTCGGCTCCCCCCAGCGCGGGGCCAGGGGGGAAAGGGACTTCCCTGTGTCCCTTCTCAGCTTCCTACTGGCTGGTTGGGTTTTTCCCACAGGGAAAATAAAGCCCGGGCGAGTGACAAGCCGGTGTTTCCTGAGGGGGCTTCGAGCCCGGGGGGACCCCGCGGTCAGAGTCTGCCTAGGAGGGGAGTAAAGCACAGGGGCAGAACTGGGGCACACGGCTTATGAGGAGAAGCCGAGGGAACTGGTTTTATTGAGTCTGGAGAAGAGATTTTTTTTTAAAATTTGTGTCCAAGGCCAAATGAGCCAAAATTAATTCCAAATCCAAGAGTCCAGAACCATTACTACCCGCACCTGGGCTTCAGATGTTCCCAAAGCCTTTGGTGGGCGTCCTACTTGCAGGCCCTGGGCTTGGGGTTCAGATGCCCCCAGGTTTTGCTTGCCCTCAGCCAGAGGGCCCTGGGAGCAAGCCAGGGGAGTCTGGAGAAGAGAAGAGTGAGGAGGGATTCATTTAATAGCATCCTTCTAGAGCTCAGCAGAGGGCAGCAAGCATGGTTTGCGGGCTGAGGCACATGCCTCTGGAGGAGGAGCAGAGGAAAGTGGGCTTACTGAGTCTGGACCAGCGAAAACGGAGAGGGGATTTGATTGCAGCCTTCGCTCCCTGAAGGGGGGCTGGAAAGAGGATGGAGCCGGGCTGTTGTCAGTGGTGGCAGATGGCAGGATAACAGTGGTCTCAAGCTGCAGCGAGGGGAATTTAGATTAAATATTAGGAAAAACTCTCTCCCTAGGGGGTAATAAAGCACTGGAACAGGTTACCCAGGGAGATGGTGCAATCTCCATCGTTGGAGGTGTTTAAGACTCAGGTAGACAAAGTCTTCATTGGGATGAGATAGTTGGGGATGGTCCTGCCTTGAGCAGGGGTTTGGACTGGATGACCTCCTGAGGTCCCTTCCAACACCCCTGGTCTTTCATTCTCTGATTTTACAATCATAATCTGGCTCCTTTCTCATCACTCAGCTAGCTCAGAGATGCTATGAATCCAGCAGAAAATGACCCCTAGGAAATTATCCCTCCCCTGCCACAAAAGTCACCTTGAGCCACCTTAGCTCTAACTTTTCCCTCCATGTTAAACAAAGAAATAAACATCATCTTGGATTTGAGTACATAGAGTAGTTATTTTTTGGAGCTGAATCGGCATTAAGGTTAATTCACCTTATGGTCAAAGTACTGGCAGCATTTCCCCACCCCCATCATTCCTACCCAGTATCTGCCTCAAGCATAACTTACTCAGAAAGGAGAATCTGGTCCCCAGCATAGATACGCATCCTGTCTTATAGCCAATATTTTAGTCAGACATGAAAAACACAAATCTAACTGCAGGGAAAGTAAAAATAACTCCAGCTCCTAGAGTCAGGCTTGCACTAGGGATCCACTATCAGCTCACCTGCTGGATTTCACTGTAAATTTCCCCAGGGTTGACACTGCCAGAGTCAACCCCCCCTGTACACACCTGCCAAAAAGGGAAAAGACAGACTCATAGCTAGGTTCTGTCAGGGAAACTGAATGGGTCACTTGAACTAGTGCTGAAAAACAACTAGACCAGATAAAAGCATTGAAGGCAGCTTCAGGGAATTCTTTCCTGTTTTTCTAATGTTTGACAACTCTGTCAAACAGCACCATAGAACGGTAACTGTTATTTCACCACCAGTTCAAGAGAACCCAGAGTGAAAACCAATGTCCAACACCAGTTCATTTTCCTGATGGGTGACAGAACCAGCTTTTTAAGCAGATTCCCCACTCGATTGTAACAAGAGTCTTTTGTCCTTTACTAAACTTCAGCTCTAAATTCAACATTGGATGCTGTCACCTGGTCACCCAGATTTGGGTTCCACCTGAGACAAAGTTGTTCTGAATTGTTATTTTAAGATTTAGAGTTCACCTGCCTTCTTCACTCCAAATTAAAAATCTAAATTCTGGAAACTGTAAACCTGCACACTACATGAATTTAACACCTTGATCTGCAAGGAAAAGATACTTATGACAACCGTGGTACAACTAAAAGTAAATGGATTAGCTAAGAGAGTATTTAGGTATAGCCTTAGGTATTTAGAATAGCTTTATGGAAGGATTTTGTCATCCTGGTTACATTGGTTCAAACATTGTTTCCTTCTAGCAAGAGAAAGCAGGATGGTAAATCGGCTGGGGCACCTGCTTTCCCAAACGTTTGCTAGTCATTCAGTTGATAAATGATGTGAGTATAGATCCAGAGTTTTCTTTTTAGGTGTGGAGAACTCCCTGAAACTGTATTAGATATCTAATAACAATGGGAGAAGGCAAGGCACAGTGGCACCTTATAAACCAACTCATTCAGAGCAGCATGAGCTTTCATAGGGTACAGCCTACTTTGTCACCTGCTATGAATGGACTTGCAGAGAGCAGGATACTAAATATAAAGGAATAAAGTCATAACAACAAAGCTGTAAATAAAGTGCTAATAACAAAGAGATACAATTGATTTAGGAGGTTAATAGTTTGCTTTTCTTGGGTTAAACCAGCCTGCCTCTGGAGTTTAATTTGATTTGACCAAGCTTAATTTGATTGGTCAAACCAGAAGCTTATTTTCCCCCACCATGTGTACACAAGATTTTTTTAAATTGATGTTAAATGCTTATTTATAATGATAGGGAGGAACAGTTTGACCAGATGAAAATTCATTATTTGCCTGCAGAAAAAAATCATAAACAAGCTCTTATGCAAAGACCTCCAAATAGAAGTGAGCTAACTCTGATCAATTAATGGTGGCTTCACTCATCTCAAATGGGTAGAAAGGTGCTCGCCTCCTCCTTGTGTGCCATCTCAAACAAAGCTCCCTCAAATCAGCACTTGCAGACTGTTATTATCCTGAACTACCCCTTATCTTTACATAATTATAGTTGTGGTGCATGTATTGCTATAGTGATGGCTGTGTCAGCGCTTTCCTTATAAGCACAGAGTTTAAAGGATTTGTAACTTGGCCATTCCAATTTGCCCCTCTATGACCTCGCTCTACAATGTAGCAGCCTGAGAGAGTGACAGATGGATCTCATGTCACTAAAAGGGGACTGATCCAAGCAGAGCGGTTGGGTGCTAGCATTTTACCAGTCATGTGAAAATAAAGAAAACTCAATGTTTGCATGAAAGAAAGGACTTTGAAGGGAGGGACTGAAGTTCTTGAGGAACAGTTTTCTTATCCTTTTATCTCCACCTCCAGCTTGTATTTTTCAACATGCTTATTTGTTTTACTTGGCTAGACAGACACTTTCTCTTTTTTGCATGGCTGGTTAACACAATCCCCCTGTGGCTTGACACTGTCAGGGAACATCACCCCCAAATACCCAGTGTGGTGTGATGGTGAAAGCAGGAAATCCATAGAGAAGCTGTAACTACATTACAGTGGCTGCATCTACACAAGACGCTTAACGCACAGTAGCCTAATAACTGTGCAGTAATGTGTCACAGAATGGACAGTGCTAATACATTACTGTGCAGTATTATTAGGCTACTGCACAGTAGTGTCACTAAAAAGGCATTCGCTGATGCTACTGCTCAGTAACTGTAGTTACTGTGCATTTACTTAGTACTTCACTAAGCAAGTACTAATGTAACTGTGCAGTAAATTCATTAAGCAAGTACTAAAGTAAATGTGCATTAATAAACATGTAGATGTGACCAGTGAGTAGCTAAAGACATTAGCTGTTGCTTTCACCTACAGCAAAATTGCTAGAAGAGGTTGGTAGGGAAACAGAAATTGAGACTGCTTGGCACAGCATTAGAAAGGAAGTTACATCCTGATCAGCAGTGAAAGACTGAACTAAAATTCAGAGGCAAGTGCCAGAGAAGAATTGCAAGGAATATGCCATTAGGATATGAAATATCAAGTTTAGTGCAAAGTAACCCTATTGCAGAGCAGAAAGAAAGCAGCTCAAAGCAGAGCATTCTGTATTTCAGAATGATACAATACAGTCATCTGCATTTACATGAAATAAGGCAAACTGTTACCAAATGTGAAGACTCTCTCTAATCCCTCAGATCTAGGAACTATCACAAGTAAAAAGAAGCATAGTCTATCACGGTGTAGCCTACCCACTTAGATTGGATAAAATGCAAAACCTGTCTCTGAACCCTGGTTAAGTTTTAGATGTCTTAGGCTATGACTTGCCTTTCTCTTTGGCTCAAGTATGGCTTTTTTGGGGCTCATTTGTGCATTATGCCCCATCCTTGTGTTGGGGAGTTGAGCTGCATCATGGAGAAGGTGACCAGGGGACAGTAGAATAGTGCCTCCCACTTCACACTGCACACCTAGCCAAGCAAGCCTTCTGGCTGAAGGGAAGTGGGGAGATGTCCATAGGCTCTGCTGCTCTCTGCTTCACCTCCTTGATGTCTTAGCCCCACTTAAGAAGAAAGGGAATCAGAGGAGGAGAGATTAGAGAAGGGAGGGAGTTAATGCCTTGGTTTAGCAACGAGCTCTTCACTAAGTTACAGCACAGAGAGGAAGGAGATGGAAATAAACAGGGCAGGATGGAAGTTATTGATCAAAGACTACCTGTTTTAGGAGAGAGGGTGTACTCATGGATGTTTGTGTGTGTGTGGTCTATTGATTAGAATACTGGAGACCTACCTTTTACTTCCAGCTTTGTCACTGAGTCACCATTTGACCTCCACGTGCCAGTCTCCCATCTGTAAAATGGGGATAATGATAATAAATGTTACTGTCATTTGTAAAATGCTTATGGGTAAAAAATCCGTGTTTATATTTGGCATAAAGGACTTATCGGCATATGCTTAGGATGATTCCATTAAGCCA